ACTCTACCATTATGAGATGATACCTTGGAATTCAATGACTATTAACTCTTCAATGGGAAAAAGGAAAATTTATAATTCTTATATAAAGATTATAAGTTATCTTTGTAATGTTCCATTGAACTTTGCGGAGTTTAATACATTATAGAAAAAAAAAACGATAGAATTGATTGGATATACAATGATAATATGACAATCCATTAGTTTAATGTATTATGGATACCCTAATGGATAAAATAAAATCTTCACGTTCTAGGGTTTGTTTGACTGCTGGAGATTTTATTAAACAAAAGGGCAAAAGGTGCTTGCAAACATAGAAGAATATTGTCATAATGTTATAGGTAACTACGATTAATCCCTTGTAAGGAAGAATATTACAGGAAATGCCCATTCCATTGCTCTCTTGTTATTATATTCAGTTGTAGTACTTCACATCATTTCTTTTCTTATTATTGAGTACTAAATGCAAGTTACATGGCCATCGATGAGGTTTCATTGGTTTGTTGATGCGAATGTAAAAGGTGATTTGAGTGAAAAGAGTATTGAGTGCGAAAAGGCTTATGGATGCGAAAGCACTGTTGAATGCGAACGCGAACAGGATGATGAGTGAGAAAATGGAATCAGATGCGAAAAGGAAGCACGTTGCGATTGGATGCGAAAGCGAACCATTTCGGAATATGACTAGATGCGAACCACTTCGGAATGGATGCGAACCTCGGAACTCTAAGGGCTTTTTGCATGGAACATGCATGACTGTGGATGTCGGCTAAAACTGGAATATTCTAAAGACGATTTTGGAGTTATTTTTAGTCTTTGTTTGATAGTTCATTTTTATTTAATAATTTCCTTTTATCTATTGGTTTCCTTTTATTTTGTGAGCATTTTAAGACTATAAATAGTTCTTTATGTCGAACATTTTTAAGCATTGATGAATAAATTGAATTTTGAGAACTTTATCCTTTGAATTGCTTACTCGCTCCCTCGTCAATTCTAGGACAGTTTGATACGAATTCAAATCAATAAGTCTTGATTTGTTTTCATCGACACTCAATCTAGGTCTAGATTATTTATCAAATCTATTTTTTTCTTGTTTTATTGTCGATCAAGTTATCATTGTTCTTATTTTTTTTATCTCGTTCTCGATTTTTCCGCTGTATTCATATAATCAGAAAATCCAAAAAGAAGTTAAGCCCTCGTATACGGGCGTATCATTTGTTCAATAGCTTCATCTTAAAAAAGATAAATCATGAAATGTCTTTCTTATTATCTATGTTTAATTATACATTAACTTGTAAAATATTTCGTAATCCAAATAATATTTCTCTAAAGTTGTGAGGCATGTTGTCGTGGATGTAAATAAGACATGAAGACCCAAATTTTTAAAATTTATGTTATATTAAAATCGAAAGTTATAATAAAAAATTTATTCTTTTTTGGTAGTGATGACATATACTAAGAAGTAAGAATAGTGAGGTATATCTTTGGATTCTAGAAGGGTTAATAAATTTGAATATTCATTTCATGGACAAATCTCATTATAGAAAGAATATAGATGGGAAAGCTGAGACTACTTTGTGGTGTTTGGTTAGGCCCTAGCAATTTCTTTTTACACTTTTGTATCATTATTTCTATAATCTATATATCAAATTATCAAATGTAATTTAGAATCACAAATTGTTTATAATTCTTAACTGGTTAATTAGCTACAAATAATTTTTTTTTTCCGAGTCATTGTCGTTGATGTAATGAAAACCAATATTTTTGTCTTTTGACATTTATACTATATTAAAATCGATATTTATAATATATTTTTTCTTTTCTGTAGTGATGACATATACTAAGAAGTAAGAATAGTGAGGTATGTGTTTGGATTCTAGAAGGTTGATAAATATGACTATGAATTTCATTGACACTCAGTCTAGAAGGAACATAGATGGGAAAGCTAGACTAATTTGTGGTGTTTGGTTAGGCCCTAGTAACTTCTTTAACACTTTCGTAACGTTTTGTTCTATATTAATCGTAATTTAGAATCACAAATCGTTTATAATTCTTAAGTTTGGTACAAATAACTTTCAAACATAATCTTACTGGCTTGGCGATTATTAAGCTACCTCTCGTAATGTGATAATTAATTAATCATTGTCCTCTCAAGCTACTTTACCATCAAATCATATAATATTATGTGTTAGATTTTTCGTTTCCAGCAAGGATCATGCATGTGTGGTTACCAATTCTAGGAGATAGGAAAATTTTGACTTTTAATGTGGGGATAAAAAAATGTGGTAGTTAAGAACTAACTGTTTTGAAATGGTCAACAGAAAATACATCTCACTCGTTACAACATTTGACCAATGACTAGCCCACGTTGGAATCTAAAAGCATTTTACTCGGTTTCTTCGGTCAACCATTGACTCCACTACCAAATAATAGAACTTTTTAATTTCTGTTTATATATAGCTCCTCCATTCTTCCCTCAATTACACTAGCACAATCTCACTTCAAAGTTCTATCTCCATATATAGAAGCAAGCTCACGTACTTCATATGAACAATCACTGACACTCAAAGTCAACCCAGTTTATCTAGTACATCCTGCATCTAGAGTTGTACTGAAAAGATCGATATGGAGAGTGTTTGTGTTTATGAACAGACGACAGTCGTCCATGAGTTAACTCAAGGAATAGAAATGGCTAAACAGCTAAGGCTCAATCTAGATTCAGCTGAAGCTAGAGAATTCTTGATAGAGAAGATCTTATCTTCATATGACAAAGCCCTCTTTGTTCTTAAATCAGCCGGGCAGCCTCGGGCAAGTCCACTGCCCGAATCTAGTCTGCCCAAGTCATCTATAACCACAAGCAGTCCCCAAAGCACTGAATATGAGTTTGAGTTTGGCCAAAATGTTGCCTCCAAAAAGAGGTATTTTAATTCATTTCTCGTTGTGTATTAATTTATCTTTTACCCAAATGAATGTGCAGAATCTAAATCTTGTTTCTTGATTGGTGTCACAGAAAGGCGTCAACACCATGGGAAAATGATGTTAAAATCTTGACTGATAATGAAATAGAGGGTAACGCTAATAATGATGGTTATAGTTGGAGGAAGTATGGGCAGAAAGACATCTTGGGTGCCAAATTTCCAAGGTAAATTTCTATTATATTACGTATTAACGATGGGTAACATGGTCATTGAATTCAAGTCCTAATGGTAAGTTTTACTAAAACATGCAGAAGCTATTATAAATGCTCATACAGAAAGGTTCAGAAATGCTTGGCTACAAAACAAGTGCAGAAAACAGATAAAGACCCGACAGTATTTGAGATTACGTACAGAGGGATACACACCTGCAATGGTGTTGCACAGTCGGCACTACCACCACCACCTTCGCCGGAAAAACATGAAATAAAGCCAACCCACCACCACCACCAACTAACAACACCAAATGCTGGTGAGAACTTTTCAAATCTGAGAGCAAACCTCACTGTTAACACCTGGGATTTGGGTTGCACTCTTCCATCTTCACATTCCATTCCTCCAACAGTATTTGAATTCAATGATAATGATTTCCATCCACTTAATTTTCCTAATCATTTCGATGAGGAACTATTGCAAGGCTATTCACCGTCCTTCATCTCTCCGGCCACCTCTGAATCTAACTACTTCACAGACTGGGCGAGTTCATCATCATTGGATTTCCCAAAGGATGCTGTAGATCTATTCCCTGACTTCATGAGTTAATCATAAACAGTGTGATTACGGTGGATGTTGATCTATCACGGAAATTGGCTAATGGCGGAGTGGTTGACTAATGGTAATGTGGAAAGCTCACAGTCAGAGAGTGGAACTCATGATAATATCATCACACATATGTGTTTGGATCGCAAGTGATGTTAAGTTGAAGTTTCTTCTTTAAGTTCCTTTGAAAAATGTAGATTTGTGAATATGAGTTGAAGGAACTACCCATATATGTACGTGAAGTGTAGCAGTTTTAAAAAGCTTGGACTTTACTTTATATATGCTCCTCAATGGATATGGATATACAACTTATAGTAGTGTCAAATATTAGTATATACTAGACTAGTTTTGAAAAATTGTGCGTATATTATTTGAGTATTCGAACGAGTTGAAGCATTTAATCCTGAAGAAACCTTTGAATCTCGAATAGTTGGAACTGGATTATAACCCTCGTTAAACGCACAGGAAACGCATAAAAAAAATACAAATCGTTGAAAGACATATTTGTAGACAACTTTTTATGTTAAAAAGAATTGGATGCATTAATGAGTTAAAATGAATTTATTCAATTCTTCAATACATATATTAAACAAAATTAATATCATAAAACAAAATAAGAGATGAGTTGACGATTAAAAAAATTAACGCTACCTTTGATGTCTTTTCCATCAGCCACTGATTACCATGGTGAATAACATCTTTAATATGACGGTCAAACAATATAAAAGAAACAGACCCAATTTCATATTGAACACGAATTACGACTCTCCCCCTAAATATTATAAAATGACATTTTAATAGACAATGAAATAAAATTGGAAACATTCGAATATAGATTAATGGCACAAGAACTTTATAAATGTAAAATTATGAACTTACTTGCTGTAAACATCAGAAACTCCACCACAAACCATCACAAGTAAATGGTTCAACATTAGTATCATCATTATTCTTACTTACTTTTTTTTAACAGTCACGACAATAAAAAGAATACAAACCTTCATCTAAATCAAAACTGATGAAGTAGCAATGATGGATTTCATAATTTTTTAAAAATATATATAATTTTTTTTTCATATATATATATATATATATATATATATATATATATATATATATATATATATATATATATATATATATATATATATTCATTGTGTTATGCGCCATAAATTTATAAAATTAATGGAAAAATATTAATATTGTTAAGTATACCTCATTGTAATCTGGAATATCATCAATGTTCTTGATTGGAAAACGAAGGTAGTAATCCTATGCCTTGGCCACAACAATATCGGTGTTAAGCTGTGCAGTACTAATGGAAGACTCAACATTCAAATCCATATCAGCAATACTACATATAAGAAGAAAAAAATGAAGAAGTTAAACAATATAAATAATTAATGATTAAGAATAAAGAAAAACAAACATTAAGCTATTAATTAATGATAAAAGACATACGTTTTTTTGAATTCTGAAATGTGAGACATGTCATCATTAATATGCAATCTCGACCCAAACAAACAGTACCCACTTGAGGCTGACCTGGAAATAACAATTAAACTTATAAATTAATTTATCTTATAAATAATAATTAATGTAATGACATGGACATTTATAGTAAAAAAAATATTCTTACCACCCCAAGTTTTGAGCTTTTGACATAAGTAGGAGAATGATAACACCTGCATTATCATTTTGATGTAAACAAATCATTTTAAAACAAATATGTATAATAAGACAAGGGTTTTGTCATAAAAGCCCCCAATTTTACACAAAATGTTTGGTTATGTCCTAAGTGAGTTTTTTGGTGCGATAAAACCCCAACATACCGGAAAATTGGTTCATTTTTACCCCATAACCGAATTTTACCTTAGTTACCCGGTCACCCTTTAGCTGATTAGGCGAGATTGCTGAGTCAGATATTACATGGCAAGCCAGCGTTGTTGGCATTGTTAGGAAAAAACGCATGGACGAATTTTACCTTAGTTACCCGGTCACCCTTTAGCTGATTAGGCGAGATTGCTGAGTCGCCAGCGTTGTTGGCATGGACGAATTTTACCTTAGTTACCCGGTCACCCTTTAGCTGATTAGGCGAGATTGCTGAGTCGCCAGCGTTGTTGGCATTGTTAGGAAAAAACGCATGGACGGAAAATTGGAGCTGGGGGGTTTCAAACCCAGGTCTCCTCCTTATAAAACAAAGATCTTTACCACCAGACCAAGTAGGTTTGTTGGAAACTTCTCCTGAAATATTGTACTTAATAGATGTAACGCAGGTTATTATTTATTATTCTTATTATTATTATTATTAATAATATTTACTTAATTTATATATATATATATATATATATATAATCGTATTTATTTTTATATATACGTATTTATGTATATTAAAAAAATGTCCAAATCACCATAATCTTTATTCCCTAATTTCTTTTAATACACATAAATACGTATATATACAAATAAATACGATTATATATATATATATATAATATATATATATATATACACATTTTTTTTAATACACATAATAATAATATACGTATAAAAACTTTTTTCAAAACATATATAAACATATAAAATTTTATTTATCATATAAAAACATTTTTAATACACATAAATACGTATATATACACATAAATACGATTTTAAATATATAAATACGTTTTTTTAATACTTATAATAATAATATACATATAAAAACTTTTTTCATACATATAAAATCTATTCATACGTATAAAAACATATATAAACATATAAAGTTTTATTTATACATATAAAAACATTTTTAATACACATAAATACGTATATATACATATGTATGTATAAATTCATAAAATAATAATAATAATAATAACTAGAAAAGAAGCCCCGCTCCGCGGGGGTTGGATTCGACACTAATGTCAAAGACAACGGATGGAAGACATTACGTTAAAGATGGTGTCATCGTTTATCAGTCGTTTGTCGTAGAAGTAGGATGCTATAATTGGTTGACTATGAAGGTATGATGCTTAAAAAATGAAGTAAAGTAGAAGCAAACTGCGATATATTCTCTTTTTAAAACACATATGTTGGGTACAAAATCATTTTAACTAAATTTAGTCAAAGGCAGCACCAGTCCAACTGCTTCCTCTCGTGGGTACTGCTCCAATTCCTCCTCCTTGCCCTGTATCAGGTCTCCCTTGTAGCTTCAAACCCAATGGAATCTATAAATGAAGGAGAATAGAAAACATATAAGAAAATGACCAATATACCCTTCAAAAAGTTGGACTGCATAAAAATGCATTTCGTGGACCTCATTCTTTGTTATTACCTTCTATGCAGTCAGGCAGACCGGTTGATTGCTAGACATGCTATGATGAGTAAACTGGCTGCAACAGTTGAGAGCCAGGTGTGAGGACTGCAAATTACTTGGCAGTTTTATCTATATCTTGATAAGCTCTTCGCAGCTTTGGGATCCCTTAAGTGCTGATTTTGTAAAAATTTCCAAATAGAAATAATATAAATGGATTTCAACTACCTATTATTTTCTACGACTGACCAAAATGCCCTTTGCTAAAAAAAAAATACATAATGATAACACAAAAAAATACGTTAAGTATGATGAAAAAAATAAAAAAATCTGATTTTTGATACATACTGTTTTAAACAATCAAGTAAAGCTGACATATTTTCCTTCATTTTCCCAAATTTCATATATAAATAAAAAAAATTATAATATAATTAGGTCCCAATAGGTGTGAAACAAAGAAGGAAATAACATATAAATATGTAGAAGCTTTAAAAAACAAAAAAAATAGATCATTATAGTAACAAAATCCAGATGCTTTATTATTATTATTTTTTTTGCATATTACACCTGGCTCAGTTTATTGCAATGCCACAGAATTATTGTTTAATCCAAACAACCTTCCAGTGATGCAACAGTCACGAATTCTTGTCATTCTCTATTTTTACCGACTTTACCCCTGCTCAGAATAGGAAAAGGTATTAAGTAGTTTAACAAAATTGAACAGGTTTATTATTATTATTATTATTTTAATCAAATGAAAATAATAACTATAATTCAAGAATAAAACGTAACGAATCATGGAAAAAAACTTTTATTAATTTGCAACTAATAAGACCCATTATATTATTAATAAACTATTAAGAGAAAACCATATTGGGATCCATGTTCCACCTTCCAGCTGAGTAAATGCAACTTTTTTTAATAGAAAAGTTAATGACTACTCTAACATCTTCAAACATTTCTATCCATTTGCAGTTTTAACCATAGCCTCTTCCTTGCACTCTTATGATTTGAAACCTGGTCTAGTTTAAAATACACAAAGTTATAGTTTCTACAGAGTTATAAGAATAAAGATTGTAATTTTTTTAAAAAGAAAACGATCTTGAGTAGAGAATTATTTTGATCAGTTGTGTCATTGGTTTCATCAGGAAATAATGGAGGGAATGAAAAGTCAATGCTTGAAAGAGAAATACCATTTTAAGAAGTGACATGTTCAGCGTACAATATGTCCACATCTGAAGGTATATAGTCTGCTCTTAATATATCAAGAGCCTGAAAAATTCACGCACAATAACATATTATTAAATCTGTTTTCTTACATTGTTAACTTTTTTGACTAAATTACCAGTTTAGTCCCTGATATGCAATAAAATGAAACAGCTGGACATACCCCCACGACTTCTGGTATACCACAAGGACTAAATTTGTAATTTTGCTGTTTTTTTTATACATACCTGTTCCAAGAAATAACTGGAAACACTGGGGAGCATCTCCAATTCCATTCTCCTCTTGTAAGCGGCTTTCATCGCTGGATGATTCTAGAGTTTCTCAACTACAGGGGTCTCTTTATATAATATTCTAGCCTGTTTGAAAATTTTACTTGTACCAGACCCACAACATCCAATTAAAAGAAGCTTTCGAGGGTATTTTGGTCAAAATAGTTTGGGATTGATTGAGTAAGTGTGTTGCTCAATTGCTCTCCAGTGGGATAAATTGTCTTGGATGGAATAGTGATAAAACAACACAAACCAGGTTTGTTCCAGCCTGAAATAAAACTTTATGTTAAAAAAATATTCGAATACAAAAAGAAAACATAAACATGAAACATATTTATAAAAAGGTGTCACCTCTCCCCATATATATCCTCTGGTGTTTTTCTGTCCCTCTTCCTGATAAGATCCATCATCATTAACCCAAAAGTGAGCATTACCAGCACATTGGACTCCAGATAGCTGCAACATTTAACAATTCACATGATCAGTGGAAAATGGAAATAACAAAAGGGAGTTATTTCCATGTAGAGTAGTTGAGCACAAATTACCTCAGAAATTATAAGCAGGCTATTATTTTTTATTTTTTAATTTGTTCTACATATGGAATATGAAGAATATCGGTTTGACCGTTTATACTTTCAATGACACTATCCTTCTTGAAACAAAAGTCCCACCCATATATGACTTAATCCAGACAGACGTCGCTTTATCCATATATGTATTATTGGAAAAAATAGATGCTTAATCTAATTTTGTAGAACCAATTGACATTTTATTAATACAAATGGCAGAGGAAACCTAATCACCAAGACAAATTTCACACCAATGGACAGGTTCTATTAAAGGAAAAAGCAATATGAAAATGGGCATAACGACTTGTACTTGTATTACCTTTGATATCAACATGTGTGCAGTGTTGTGAACCTGATGACTAAATACTATCCTGCCATAAAACGGATTATGTCAAAATAGAGATGAAAAAAATTCTTCCAACTTGATAAGCTACAATTAAGAACTCTAACTGATTAAAAAGAAAAACAAAAGAATACATGAGGTGAACTTTAACCAATTAAAATATGTGATTGTTAACTACTTTAAATATACCTCAACTCCTTTATAGTTGAATTCTCACATAGCTTTTCCTTTTCAACAACCACCTTCGGGGGTGGTTCTAGCCAATCCAAATCATCATCATCGCCACCACTGGTAAAGTCGAACTTGAAGCTTTTTTAGGGGAATTAGATCTTGAAAACGGTTATGTCTGTACAAATTCATAAAACGTAGGTGGGTCAATTGAAAGATTAGGGTTCCTCATTTATTGTAGAAGATAAGTGGAAGAAACAAAATTAAAACTTATAACTTTATTCACCAATCAAAAACATAAAACTGAAATCTGGAAAATCAACAACTTACGGGTCTGTTGATTGGTGCTATCCCAGCGACAAAAGTTGATGAAGTGATGGAAACAGCGAATTGCAAATCATGGCGGTGGAGACGGTGGATAGAACAGAGGGTGCAGCAATGAGGGGTAGAAGAGGTAAAGAGTTTGGAAGAGTGAAACTGCACTGCAATAGCAATCGGAAGATGCGAATGAAATTTATGGTGATGGAAGATGCCTGAAGTAGATGTGAATGAAGATTCCGGTCGGAAACGAATAGGAGGTGAAATCGGGGAATATCTGGGCAGAGATAGAACGAAGGACGAAGAAAAGAGGAACGGTGGAAGAAGAAGAGAGATAGAGAGCATAGATGAGAGGGTAGTTTGGAAGAGTAGGCGGTGTGAGACGAATGGATTTTTGGGGCGGTGGGTGAGACGTGGACAGAACACGTATCACTTCCTGAAAGAAGCGGTGCATTACACCTGGTAACCCTGGTGGACAACCAACCTGATAAAGAGCACGTGTGCACCAACAATTTAAATAATGACATAAAAGACCAAAGGCAAAGAAAAAGATGGATTTGAACATACAGAAATAGACAGGGGACTAATTTTTCCAAATCCTTTGCAAATTTACTGTAACTAAGGTAAGAGAATTTTAATATATATATATAATAATAATAATAATAATAATACATATTTCTAAATATACAAATACGATTTTAAATATATAAGTACATTTTTTATACGTTTGAAAATGTATTTTTTAATAATAATAATAATAATAA